CCCTTAAAAAGTCCCCTATGCCACGCCCAAACGAGCAACGAAAGCAGCAGCAAAACAAAATTAAAACAAAACTTTTTGTCTTCGTGATCTACAGGCTGTTTTCATTCCAACCGTTTAGTGCTAAAAGTTAATGAGATCTATTTTATGTTCTGCCTTTCATTAAATGGTAATTTGACGTATGAGCACGTATTTAGACTTCTGCATGAGCGTGCAGTTATTTCGGTCTGCTTATGAAATACAACCTGAAGCCGTCGATAAATTTTAAAAAACACAATGAGCCATAAATAACGATACACCCTGTAAAATGGTCTTTCTTAAACTAATGAGATGCACCAAACTTTCGAATGAATCTTAATTGCCAGTATAGTAATGAGGCGAGATTTGGGACTTGGGCGAGTAAGTAGGAGGGGCCATACGTCACTCACCTTGTTATTTGACAAGTTCTTTTAGCCTTGGTCTGGTATAAATATTGGGTTTGAGATTCTCTTGATAACCCTGAAGGGGACAATTCTCTATCCTGACTGCCGTTGCCTCTCTGGTTTCTATTCTCACCTTTGACCAGGACGAGTGGAAATAGGGTGAGTTCGAAAGACCAAAGATTGTTAATTTCTAATACAAAGGTATAAATGTATGCCATTTGTATTTTGAAGTCTTAGTGGATGTTTTTCAGATTTTTAAAAGATTTTTTTTTTTACAAAGCCATGTAGATTTGAACGACACCGTCTCGATTCCTCATGACGAGCAAAATAGCAGCGAATGTTCGGGCCAGAATTCCTTGAATTGATTTAATATTGGAACAACTTCATTAGAACACTCAAATATGACCCTATTTGCTTCCTTCGTCAAAGTTGAATTTATTAACAGCAAGAGCCAATCACAAGGCGAAATGTCATAAGGAGAGGCTGAGGTTGAAATGTTTCCCAGTGGTGAGCTGACCAGCAAGAGGACGCAGTTTTTGTTTGATTTTTTTGTGTTTGATTGGTGGGTTGTTGTTTCTTTGTTTGTTTTTGTTGTTGTTGTTTTGTTTTTTTTTGGGGGGGGGGTTCCCCGGTCGACTGGTTAGAATGAGTCGGATAACAACTCAGACCATTGAGACCAACAATTTGTGCAATGAAGCTGTGGAATCAGGCGCTCGTCATGTTTACTTCTTTTTTTTGTGGGGAGGGGTATAAGGAGTTATAAATATCATCTTAGGAATTATTCATTATATTGTTTGGAATTTGGTGAAAAAAAATCCCATCTATCTCGCATAGAAGTTAAGATTTTCGCGATTGAAAGAGAAGGGGTTTTATCTAGTGTCAGAGGTAAAATTAGGGAGAAAATATTCACTACAGTTTGGTGACTTTCAAGGCTTTAGTGTCTTTGGAAACTGCAAATTTACTTTTTTTGTACCTTTGATCAACAGTTTACGGTAAAATTCACACAGAAATGTGCTCTTAAATCGAGCCAAAAAACAAAAAAAAAGCAAATTTCCCAACGGCTAGAAAAATGCCAGTTTCCATAATACATGTATTTTGACGATGGCTTATTCCACCCCGCTTCCTCACATTTTCAAAAGCCTTTTTTATTGAAAATTTCTACTCTCTTGTCGGCATACCATTTAGATCTTTTAGGAAGTAAGCTTCTTCTACCTTACATATCAAAGACAACTCGAGATAAGAGGAATACGGAAACCATCAGACAGATGGAAATACTCCCGAAATATTTTCCCTGCATGGGAATCGAACGGGAGTCATCTGCGGGAAATGCTGGAGAGCCAAACCTGCAGGTCATAGCAGTTTGCTTTTGAAATTCTAATCCTTAACGAAGAGGTAGCTTGTGTGTGTGTGTGTGTGTCTGTGTGTGTGTGTATGTGTGTAAGCGTGTATGAACCTTGATGACTATGGTGAGTGACTTCGGAGGATACAGGCACTGGAGATGAGATTTTTACGCAAATTCAAGGGTACCTCACATCAAAATCGCACAACTAATGTAGCACTGAGAATCAAAATTGGACATGCCATAGGGCCGTACGAAAACCTCCTGAATTCTGTAAAAAGACGCAAACTGAAGTGGTTCGGGCACGCCACTCGATGACCTGGTCTAGCCAAGACTATTCTGCAGGGAACAACACAAGGAGGGAGGCGAAGAGGCAGACAAAGAAAACGATGGGAAGACAATATCAAAGAGGGGACTGGCAGCGACTGGAACACCACACTGCAGAAAATTGAAAACCGTGAGGAATGGATGAAGCTGGTTACAAAATCTGCAGTAGTACTTATTTTAGACAGTATGCGCTGAAGGCAACGATTGAGTGTGGTAAAGAGACAAAGATGTGTTCGTTCCCGCTCCGCGCGACTGTTCTGACCTCCATGGCAGGCAAGCCAAGCTGGTTCCGACTTGGCTCCGTCTGGTGTTGATAAAACTCTGATTACCATCACAAAGGGAGGAAATGCGGGGAACGAGGATAGAGGGGAGAGAGGGCGAAAAGGGAGCTTGGTCAATTTGGCACAGTTCACAGAGGGGCCACTGATGATTTACTGAAAAGGAAGTGTATAGTGGGAAAAAGAAACGCATTTGTGTCACGACATGGTGGAATCAGGCTCCCGTCAGTTTTTGGGCATATGGGGTTATTGGTATTTTCTTAAAGCCTGTTTATTTGCCTTCCTATAGGTGAAAAAATATCTACCTAAATAGCGAGAAAATGGCGCCAAAGGTTGGTAACTTCCATAGCCTGAGAGTCCTTGGAAACTGAAAATTTACATTTCTTGTGCCCTAAATCAATGTTCCTCAGTAAAATCCACACAAAAATGTGTTTTTAATGGACATAAGAGGTTATGAACTGAAAAAGAAAATTATACAAAAAATGCCCATCGGTCAAAAAAAGAAAGCCGGTTTCTTTGATTTCATTATTCTAACGAGGGTCTGGTTTCCCCACGATGCCTCACCCGTTATTGTCTGTCTACAGCTATAGAGACACAATGCTCCACCTGGTGGTACTGGTGGCCCTAGCGGCCTCACCGGTCAGAACTTCGGGTACGTTTTTCTTCTGTCTTTTGTTGTTGTTGTTGTTGTTGTTGTTGTTGTTGTTGTTGTTGTTGTTGTTATTGTTGTTGTTGTTGTTGTTATTGTTGTTATTGTTGTTGTT